TAAAGGGATGTTTTTCTATTAGAATAAGGCTACAATTTTCTCAGTGCAAGAAAATGACAACTACCCATTTTCACAAAAGGATGCTGGGATGGGGGACGGGAGCAGGATGGGACCTGTTTTGTTTTGAAGGCAAGGAGGGAAGGAAGTTGGTCCCAAAAGCAACAACGGTGGTGCAAAAAGGTCTTTGGCATCTGCACTCAAAGTTGCATCGCACTCTGAACGCGGCTGTGAGATATCTTGTACACCAGCCGTCCTGATGGGATGCCCATTTGCCGGGGCTCTTGTGGCCCCTGGCTGGAAGAGATCATTCACACACACACACACACACACACACACCCCAGTGTCTGCATGAGTGTGAGTGTGTGTACATGGAAACGGTTGTCTATTCCTGGCTCCCTCCCTCCCCAACAAGCCCCCAACATTTCCAGATTTCCCCCATTTCATAGAACTCCTCATCAATCAAACCCTGGGGGCTTGTCCTTCCATTTATAGACACAGCATTGGCTTTCTGATCGCTGTCAGAAATAAAACATTGCTTTATAAAGTATGGCTGCAACGCATTAAAAGCCTCAGGGGGGGAAATGTTTGTGGTTTCAGAACCAATTTTCTTCTTTTCGACACTTGATTTGAGAATGTTTGGTCAATCTTGGCTTCCGACAGAAGTCTTAGCAGCTCAAGAGCGCAACCTTCTCCCACGCATCCTCCTCCTCCTCCTCTTCCTCCTCTGGAAGAGTCAGCACCATTTTGCAATTTAGTTATTTATTTATTTTCACTACCCAGTCGCTTTTCTTGGGTGCTTTCCTTCTGTAATGAGGCACAAATCACTTTAAGCACACAATTACCACCACTCACACACACACAAAACAACTGCTCTTCATATTGGCTGTCAAAAGCATGATTGATTCCATACCATTAAAATATATGCCTTCATGTGCGCACACACATACACACACAGAGGAGAAGAAGACACATGTAATTTTAGCAGCAAGGATTTGGAAGGGTGCGATTTTCAGCCTTCAGTCCAGAGACCAGAGAGAGTGATGCTGCTTGGCAGATTTAAGTGCATTAGTTCTTGAGGACGGAAATGCACCGAAATCACATTTTTGGGAGAAGTGCCTGGAAGCAAAACACTCTCTGTGGAAAAAGCAAAGCAGGGGTGGCACCGAAATTCCCCTTAGGATGACACAGGAATGGAGGGAAGACCCTTTCAAAGCAGACACTTTCCCTTGCACAGTTTAGTACCCTTCCCAATTCCTATTTAGATTGCAGGAGCTTTGGTGGAAGAGCGGGAGCATCGACCCTCACGAAGCCGGTGAGTGCTGGGACTTGCAGTCTTCAATAACCATGCCCATCTTTTTCAGAGATTTTGTTGGAGATCAAGCTGGAGAGTGTCCGGAGGAGGGCAGACAAAATGGTGGAAGGCCTGGAAACCATAAAGCCCTATGGGGAATGGCATAGGGACCTGGGTGTGTTCAGCCTGGAGAAGAGAAGGTTGGAGGGTGATATGATGGCCATGTTTGAATATTTGAAGGGATGCCATATTGAGGATGGAGCAAGCTTGTTTTCTGCTGCTCCAGAGACTAGGGACACAGAGTCTCAATGGGTGCAACTATGGGAAAAGAGATTGCACCTAAACATTAGGAAGAATTTCTTGGAGGTAAGAGCTGTTAGATAGTGGGAAATGCTGCCTTGGAGGGCAGTGGAGTCTCCTTCTTTGGAGGTTTTGAAGCAGAGGATGGATGGCCATCTGTCACAGAAGGGCTTTGATGGAGTAGTCTTCCTGTATGGCAGAATTGAGTTGGACTGGATGGGATCTCTTCCAACTCTATGATTCTATGTTCATCAACTGTGTAGTGTAAAACTGCAGCAGGGATTACATTGCCGTGCCACCAGTCACACAAATGGTGCCACGGTAGTGCAATCCGCACTGGATAGCAATCGACTAAATGCAGCACCCAGCACCAAGGCTTGTGCTACAGATTATCCTGGCTGGGCAACCCCAAATAGGATAACTGCCCTTGTGCATAACTACCCAGAAAATGCAATGGTTTGCAGAGAGGCATTTGCAGAAGGGAGGCTTGGTCAGAGGAACCCATTGCTTTCTTGCCCAGACGTGTG